AGTATGGACATATTCATACTTTTATTGTTTGATGATTGGTTTTCTAGGACTCGGCTTGCATGAAGAGGTGCAACCCAGTATGGAATCTAATACGAAGTTTAGTGATGTGAAAGGAGTTGATGAGGCGAAATCTGAGCTGGAAGAAATTGTTCACTACCTTCGCGATCCTAAGGTAACTAACTGCATCACACATCTTCATAAAGATAGAAAATTTAGTATTACATTTGATGGCAAAAAATTCAATTTTGGTCCGATTGCTTGGGTGAAGTCCTTTTTTCGGTACACTAACTTTCCCTTCATCAATAATAGTACATTATGTTGCAATTTGTATCATTATTGAGACATTAATCCCTAAAGTGGTACGTTATTTTTTGGGATTAATGTCCCAAATATGATACAAATTGCAACATAATGTACTATCTTTTATGAGTAATGTCCCAAAAATGATACAAATTGCAACATTACTATCAAGGAGAAAGTTAGTGTACCAAAAAAGGACTTTTAGACAAGTAAACGGACCAAAATTCAATTTTTTTTTTCCTACATTTGATCTACCTCTGACTTGTTATTTCAGCTATTCTTTTCGGCCATATAATTGGAAAGGTTAATTTATTTAATTTCCGGAGTAACCCCTTGATAGTACTCTCTACTTTTGCTCCTTTCTCTTTTGCTCCAATCTCTTCCTTTTGTTTCAACCCTTTTTTGTGTTTCTCTTACCGATGGTTCTCTTGGGTTTCATCTCTAGCCTACCCCGACTTGCTTGGGACTAAAGGCTATGTTGTTGTTGTTGTTGTAAAGGGGGGATTAGTGATAACTGATAAGATATCTCTACCAATTTTCAACTAAGCATTTCCTTTTTCATTTTACAGCGCTTTACGCGTCTTGGTGGCAAGCTCCCGAAAGGTGTCCTCTTGGTGGGCCCACCCGGCACGGGTAAAACTATGCTTGCTCGGGCCATAGCTGGGGAGGCCGGTGTTCCTTTCTTCTCGTGCAGTGGCAGCGAATTCGAGGAGATGTTTGTTGGAGTGGGGGCCCGCCGTGTGAGGGACCTTTTTGCCGCCGCTAAGAAGAGGTCTCCGTGCATAATATTCATAGACGAAATCGATGCCATTGGTGGGAGCCGAAACCCTAAGGATCAACAGTACATGAAGATGACCCTGAACCAGTTGCTGGTTGAGCTTGATGGGTTCAAACAGAATGAGGGCATTATCGTAATTGCAGCCACTAACTTCCCCGAGTCACTGGATAAGGCTTTGGTCAGGCCCGGCCGGTTTGATCGGCATATTGTGGTCCCAAATCCAGATGTCGAGGGGAGGAGGCAGATTCTGGAATCCCACATGTCCAAGGTAAAAAATAGGCTAAATTGCACTTTTAATGTCATAGCATTTTTAGTCCCAAGATTCCAACATTTTTCCTTTTGGCGCTGTGATTAATATTTTTCTGCAATTGCAAGCCTTAAATTGCAACAAATTTACAATTAAAATTTTGTTGCAATTTTAGTCCAGTTGTTTAAAATTTTAATTTTGTTGCAGTTTCAGTTTTTTGAGGACTGAAATTACAGCAAAATATTAAATCATAGGACTAAAAGTCACAAAGTTGGAACCTTGGGACTAAAATTGCTATGGTGGTAACCAACAGGACTAAAAATGCATTTTTCCCTAAAAAAATATTCCGATTCATCGAGTGGCAAAATTCATCCAATTACACAAAAATCCCATCTTTTTCGCCTCTTGCGCAGGTCCAGAAGGCCGATGACGTGGACTTGATGATAATCGCGCGCGGGACCCCCGGATTCTCGGGCGCTGACCTGGCGAACCTCGTCAACGTGGCGGCCCTGAAGGCCGCCATGGACGGCGCGAAAGCCGTCACGATGTTCGACCTCGAGCACGCCAAGGACAAGATCATGATGGGCAGCGAGCGAAAATCGGCCGTCATATCTCCCGAGTCTCGCCGTCTAACCGCCTACCACGAGGGCGGCCACGCCCTCGTCGCCATCCACACGGACGGTGCCTTACCCGTCCACAAGGCCACCATCGTCCCGCGTGGCATGGCCCTCGGCATGGTCTCCCAACTCCCCGACAAAGACGAGACGAGCTTTTCCCGCCGCCAAATGCTCGCTCGACTCGACGTCGCCATGGGCGGCCGAGTCGCGGAGGAGCTCGTTTTCGGCGAGCCCGAGGTCACGTCGGGAGCCTCCAACGACCTCCAGCAGGCTACCTCTCTCGCCCGAGCAATGGTGACGAAATACGGGATGAGTAAAGCGGTTGGGGTCGTGACGCATAATTACGATGACAACGGGAAGAGCATGAGCACCGAGACTAGGCTTTTGATCGAGAAGGAGGTGAAGGAGTTTCTCGAGCGGGCGTACGGGAACGCCAGGAATATTCTCACGACGCACGATAAGGAGTTGCACGCGCTCGCCAACGCGCTGCTCGAGCACGAGACTTTGACCGGAAGTCAAATCAAGGGGATAATCGAGCAGGTCGACTCCAAGGAGAAGAAGAAAGCGGCNCTTGCAAGATTTAGGGTGAAAGGTGCTGCAAAGTACTTGCTGGAAATGGGTGAAACTGAAAGCTGCAATTCGGATTAGGCAAATCCTTGGTGTTTTTACATTGTTGTCCAATTGGAGCTGATTTTTCATGTGACATTTTGTTCGGAGAAATGATGATATAGGAATATGTAGGAAAATAAATGTCCTCGAGTGTAGTTTGGTATTTTGAAATCCACTTGAACAATTTTGTTTTGTGGTTTTTCTGTGCTTGTAATTTTTATGACCATAAGTATCAACTGGGGACGAGTTTTTTTGTGAATGTTGTTTGATAAGTATCTTTGTATATTGATTGGCCATTGGAGTAGTTGCTGGATATGGGTGAAATGAAACTGAAAGCTGCAATTTGGATTAGGCAATCCTTAGTTTTTTTACATTATTGACCAATTGGAGCTGATTCTTTACGTGACTTGTTGTTTACCTGTTTATTTATTTTATCAAAACCTAAACATAGATTTTCTAATCATTCATTGTATAGAGCAAAAAAGACTTGTGGGCTTTGACCAATTTTTTGTTTGTAACGAGCTCGTACATATAAAACAAAACAAATGAAAAACTGTTCAACTTAAATGATATAAAATACTAATATAATTGAAGCCCCCACATTAATGATTAAACTCCAAAGATTCTCCAAAGACATTATTAATAAAAAATAACTCGACCAAGGCATCTTTTACTCTACAGTAGTCATCATAGAACTTCCAAGTAGTTTCCCGAGCAAGGGTTGACTAAAATGATAAAATCATCAGTAGTTAGGCACGTATTTGATAGAGATAAGTGCACCCAACACAAAATCTATAAAACACCGACACATTATATGATTTCTTTTTTCTTTTTGGTTATTTTATGTCATAATTTACATAAAATAAAAAGCTAGTCTCTCTTTTCTGACCCAAGATGAATACAAGTTAATTTGTCATATGTTGATGTGACATAGAATGAGCATACCATACATGATAGATATGTGACTGAAAACTCACGAGATCTTAACATGGTTGTTTTTTTATTATACCATTGTTCTATTGAATTTTCAGGATCTTGGTTTGACTTTGATCGTTATAGACCAATACTAATATCAAGCCTTAGACAAGCAAATTTAAACGTGTCTAAAATGGGGTAGGTGAGGATTTTTGGATTCTCGAAACTCTCGTACTTTCAATATTTCTTGATCCTTTGTTACCAATACAATTAGAAAATTTAATATGGTGGGTATTCTTATTACCTTCCACATTTTTTTTTCCAATTTCCATTTCTAGTTTTCACAAAGACCCTATTTAAGTTAGTCTTGTACATTCAATGATGTGAGCATGTGAAGTTCTACTTGAATAAAAACAAGCCATAGATCATTTATTATAAAAGTGGACTTTTTGAAAACACAAGGCACTTTTTTGGGGCCGCAACTGTAAATATTGTAAAACCATGTCTCGTGGCCTTTTTGGTTCCCTCATCATCTATTGGTTGGGGGTAAAGTTCGTGATAGGATTCCAAAAGGGAAGGAACAAATAATTTGGGTATTTAGCATATGCCTCAATTTCTTTCATACTTTCAATTGGGCATATCACAATTTGACAAACATGAAGATCTTGAATTTGTATGGTAAAAGAACCACATGTATCTACTATAAAATTAGAGAACTCATTTGCCATTTTTAGAAAGTTTTATGTTGGTCCCACAACACTCTTACTATTTTTAGAAAGTCCTCACATTGTTTTGACACGTGTTCATATTTATATTAATATTAATTGTCTTAACTAATATTTATTTAATTTACGATAACTACCAAAGATCCATTACTTAATAATTTTACCTTTCATCAGTTGTGACTATTTTTTTAATTCAAAAGTATGGGATGTTTGTACTTGACAGATATTTTTATAAACTTTTATTTTATTTTTTATTAAAGATTTTAGTTTAAATTATTTATCTAATCTTTACAATTTATTTTTTACAAATTAAAATAATTATAAGTGTTCGTATGCTTTTTGCCTGAATTTTATAAATTTTTTTATCTTAAAATTTTGTACATAACAATAAAATCTAATAGTAGTTAAATTAGATATAATATATTAACAACATGCACAACGAATAACACTCAAACATTCTTCATAATAAATAGATAAATAAATAACATCATGTTTGTAGAATATTTTTTTGATTCATTTTCCACAACAAGTTGAAAAATTCAAAACATATGATCATGATTAAATTAATCCACTAAACAAATAGTATGACATATATATGCAATAAATATTAGATTACATAATATAACCTCGTCGAGGTTGTTTATATACTGCGAGTGTTCACACTAGGGGCGGTACCGTAATTAACCAACTCTTTAAGTGTGAACGCAACAAACCAAATAATTACGGTACCGCCCCTAGTGTGAACACTCGCAGTATATAAACAACCTCGTC